ATTTAACAAACAAACAAACAAAACTGTGATGGAATAAAGTCCAGAAAGTCATGCATTTTAAATAATGATCCAAGACAGTAGGATAGGAAACACATTATAAAAAACAGGAAGAAAATACATTTAAATACCTACATGCCATTTATACTTTGTATATAAGACATTTAGTCACAATATGGAAAAATATGACTATACTCTTTCATGAGTGTAAATTCTTATTAATAAGCGCAAAATATAAAAAATAACCAGATCTATGTATGATGAAGCAAAATAGGCAAAGCACATTTTATAAATTATTCCAAACTTTAGGGCAAGACCTGACTTACATCACTTCCTTATTCCTCCGAGGCCCTTCAAATGGTCTGAATGGCAGTGATCCCGTGGCTGCGTGGTAAAATGTTACACCAATGCTCCAAAGATCAACTGTTGCTCCATATTTCTTCTGGTGATCTTTTCTTAGCACTGCTCTTTCATACATGTCAGGGTGCTAAAAAAAGTGGGGGGAGAGATTAAGTTGTATGTTTTTGTAATACATTCTGTAATTAGTTCTCAATAGTGTGTATACAATCTGTTAGGTCTTCCCAGTCTGAAAACTGTTTCCTATCTTTCGCTCTCATTAAGCTTCTGACACCATGTCCTTTGATACCCCTCTAATCTTACGTCATGCTTCACCAGGAAATGGAAGCAATCAGAGATCAACTCTACCTTAAGTCCTTTACCAAATACCAACCTACCTGTATCTGCATCCACACTCCAGGCCTACTTTCAGAACTGCTACAACAGAGATGCTCCTCTCAAAGGTCACATTTTACCTTCGTGTGATGGGCTCCATCATATACTATCTCTCACCACTTCCAAGAATAGATTTCTATCATTACTCCTTTTATCTATGTATCAGGTTTCCTGTCTCTATTGGATCAGTCTATCAGCTCATGATCATCATTCACTACCTTCCAATTTCAAAACCCTAACTTGATTCCACGATATCCTCCAACTATCTTTGAATTCTCTGCTTGTCCCCACAGCAAAACTTCTTATAGCTGTCCACATTTATTGCTGCAACAATGGGCTCAAACATCAGAATGATTCTGAGGATGGCGCAGGACCTGGCAGTGTTTCGCACTGTTGTACATCAGGTTGCTTATGAGTCAGAG